CCCCGCCCCGGCTCCCCCCTCCTGTCAGGCAGTTGTAGGGAGCGATAAGGTCTCCCCTCAGCCTCCTCTTCTCCAGGCTCAATACTCCCAGCTCCCATCATCCTTGGGCTCCAGACCCCTCCCCACCTTCCTTGCCCTTCTCTGGACATGCTCCAGCTCCTCCATGTCCTTCTGGGAGTCAGGGGCCCAACCCTGAACCCAGCATTCGAGGGGCGGCCTCTCCAGTGCCCAGGACAGGGGCACGGTCACTGCCCTGCTCCTGCTGGCCACACCAGTCCTAATACAAGCCAGGATGCCGTTGGCCCTCTTGGCCACCTGGGCACACTGATGGCTCATATTCAGCCAGCTAGGTTGGGACCTTCCTCAGTCTATCCTAATCAAGGCAGTAGTTCCCCTAGCAGGCAAGGGGTGCCCTTGCTGGGGGCTACCAGGGTGAGCTGTGTCCCCACATGTAGGAATGCCAAAGCATTTTGGTGTGGTGGGAGCAGATGCAGAGCAGGAATCTTGGGCTGATGGCTCTGCTTGAAGGTCCTCTACAGCTTTAGATGGTCTCTTCTGCTTGCTGTAAGCTGTCTGGGACAGAGGGGGTGACAGGGTGGTCTGAGGAGCTGGAACAGGCTTCCAAACTGAAATCGGCATTATTTCTTTTAGCCGGTTGGTTTTGTGACCTTTGACAGCCGGGCTGGTGCTGAAGCAGCAAAGAATGCCTTGAATGTGAGTACCCGCGGTGCCGGGACACCCTGGGGAGGGCTGGGTGCAGTACACCCTGCTCTAGCTAGTCCTGGAGCTGTGGGACAGCGTGCTGCTTGGCTTGACCGTGGGAAGGGTCAGGGTGTCTCAGCTGTGCCCTTGAGTATGGAAGCTAAATGGCCCTGCGGCATCCCACTGGGGAAGCAGGAGAGCTGCTCCAGGCTGACATCAGCCTAAGCAAACAGACACAAATTGTCCCGCGCTTAGTGTAGGTGTAGCTTCTGACCACTGGAAGACTGCTCCAGGGCCTCTGAGGGTGTGGGGAAAGAACAGCTACTTCTCTTCTTGACTTGGCATGCACCTCCTTACTCACCAGGTGGCCTCTGATAACAGGGTCTGGGCTGGGAATCCTGTTCCTTATCCATTAAGTGCTCCCCTTTCCATGGGGAAGAGCTGTGGACTGAGAGGACACCCCCCACACCTTGCTCAAATGAGTGTGGATACCTCGTGTGTCGATGTGGCCAGAGCTACTCTTCAAGGAGCTCTTCCTCCTGCTGTCTGCATTGAGCTGGGGGCTCATCCTAGCTTGACTCCTTGACTTGAGCTTGGCTTGGAGAACCTGAAGTGGGCAGGTCTTCTCTGGGGAACCAACCCTTAGCAAACAGATGAGGAGAGAGGTGTTGTGGGCATAGGAGGTTCCCAGGCATGATCAGGTACAGGGCGATACCCAGTGGACACCCTGTAATGCTTTAATGAGGCATGTGGAGTTCAACTTGGGTTTAGCATCAGCTTTTTGAGGCTCGAGGTTGAGCTCAGCAGGATATGTGGGTAGTGGAGCAGGCTCATTACAAAGCTGGTCTGTCAGGTGGCCGTAGGACTTGCTTGGTGCTAGTGGCCTTGTTAAAGCCTCACTTACCAAATGCCCTGATGAAGTGTGGCAGGTCCTCATCCTGGACTCTGGCCTGCCAGGACCTCTGCAGTCAGAAGGTACTTCCTTCAGGAAGGAAGGAAACCAGCATTCCCGTGCTGCTATTTCCATGGAAGGGCACGAGGCAGGGCCAAAGCTGCCTGGTATGGGCTCTTTAGCCCATTCACAGTGCTTCCAAACTGCTGCAGCTCAAGAAAAAGACTTGAGGCTGGTCAACATGGCAGGCACACCCAAAACGGGATCTCCATCCCATGTGGGCCCGCAGAATTTAGCAGGATCTAGGTAGCAAGACATGCTGATCTGGTTCTGCTCTGCTGTAGACCTTGGGCAGTGGGGCATGTGCCAGTGTCTATGCCCAGGCTGGCAGGAGGTGTAGCAGCATCACAGATAGGAGCTCCAGTATAGCTGGGGTTATCCCAGCTCCAGCAGACGGACCTTTCCTGACCAGCCTTGGTAGCTATTGCTGCTGTGCTGGTTGGTGAGCTGCACGTAAGGAGCAAACCTGTGTCCCTCCTGTTGGAAGCAGTGGTCCTAGGCTAGTGAAACATAGAAATACAACCATGTGGGAGCTTGAGGGTTGCAGTGAGGTGACAAAAATCTGGGTGTGTGACTGCAGCATGATGGCCTTGGTTCCCTAGTTGGGCTTTGCTCCATGAACAGGCATGCCCTGTGCTTGTGCTGGAAACCTCACCTCTGAGAGATTCCTGTGCTTTCTGCTCTGACAGGGCATCCGCTTCGACCCAGAGAACCCCCAGACCTTGCGGTTAGAGTTTGCTAAAGCCAACACAAAGATGGCCAAGAGCAAGCTGATGGCCACGCCAAACCCCACCAATATCCACCCTGCCTTGGGTGCACACTTCATTGCACGGGACCCCTGTGAGTATGCTGGGAGGGACTTTGAGGTCTTGGCTGGTGCAGCCTGGGGAGATGCCCAGCCCTGGGAATGTTGCCAGGGTGAAAAGGAAACCATACCCACGTGTGCTCTGGCTGAAATCTGCCTGGTGCAGGAAGCTCGGCACATTAGGGTTGCAGGGGAATAACAGGCATCTGGTAAGGCTTCTGGCAAACACTAGAATTGTTGGGAGAGCAGAGCTGGTTTTGGTAGCTCAAGTGACATGGTGCGTCCTTGAAACCATCCCTAGGTGTGAAGCAGAAGGGACTCATCCTGTGCCACACACCCTCAGCGGAGCCCAGTGGGGCCAGCAGCCCTGCTGAGGCTTGTTGGGCAGCTGGTAAGGTGATGCTGAGCGCTCTGTCCTGACGTCCTGGGGCACTGGCCCTGTGCTACATGCATGAGCCAGCCTGCCCAAAGCCTGCCTGGGGCACCAAGCAGTGGTGGAGCATATTCCTGACCTCTCTTGGTGAGGCCAGGGGGCCAGAGGAGCAGCTCCTTGCAGGGATGCTGTATTTTATACCTCGCTGTGATGGCAATGCAAAGCTTTAGTTTGGGGTTGGAAATGCAGAGCCTGCCCCTGAAGCAGGCTGTTGGGGCCAGCTACTGAGATGCTGTCGCCTTGTCTCCTCCTGTCTAGATGACCTGACTGGGGCGGCTCTTATTCCAGCATCCCCTGAAGCATGGGCTCCCTACCCACTGTACACCACGGAGCTAACCCCTGCCATCCCCCATGCCGCCTTCACATACCCAGCGGCTGCTGCTGCGGCTGCTGCTCTTCACGCTCAGGTGAGTTGCTCCCAGTGTCCTGTGCCAGGAACCGTGCTCTCCTCTCTCTCCTGCCCTGGTGCTCGCTCCTGTGGGTCTCTGCTTGGCTGGTTTGACCCTGGCCTCTGCACCTTGGCTCCTGGGCAAAGCTTCCTCCCAGGTGAAGTGCATGGGGGGGCCCCTCAGCCCTGAGCAAACCGCAGGGAAGAGGTCTAGTGGCCGAGAGTAGTCGGAGCTGGACAATGATTTCTGACCCAGCAGGTCCAGCCCGCTTCCCTGCGAGAGGCAGGCAGATGGGAGAAAGTCAGGGCTTGATTTCTGGCTTTTTTTGGTTTTTGCTGGTCCCTGTGGCTGGAGAACCGTGTTGTGGGACTGCTGGGAGGAAATGCTCCCTGCCAGCCAGTAAAATAGCTACAAAACGTCCTCCTTGAAGCCTCAGCGAAGGCAGCAGGCTTAGCTTGGTGCTGAAGCTGAAGGGCTCAGCTGGGACCCTCTTGGGCCAAGTGACTTGAATGCTTTTGAAGCTGGAGTCTTGCAGGAGATGAGTGATCAGAGCCTTGCCACAGAAAGGAACTCTGATGGGACGGTGGCGTTGGCTGCCCTGAATGCAGGCTAGAGAGGGTCAGTCTGTATGAGCCTCAATAAGAGCTGGTGGTGGTGCAACCAGCTGCTTGGTGTCCCAGAGCATGCTTGCTAACAGCTCGGAGGTGTAGGGATGCCTGTACTGGTCTGAAACTGGTATGCTTTAACATATGGAGACCAACACCCCTGCTGAGCATGAAGGCCCTGAAACCATGGAAAGGTAAAGGGAAAACAGAAATGGAGAATTAGCGTCCTAATTCCAGGTTAAGACGCTTGGTTTGGAGCACTTGTACAGGAGCCCCTGTCCCTGCCCTGCTTGGTGTTGCCAGCCAGCTGTGCTCTGCCTGCTTTGGCCCGCTCTTGCAGGGTGCCATGGTTGAAGCAGGGTGGTGGGACTCTGGGCTTAGACCTCGGAGCATCAGGGCTTAGCTTCTGCTCCCTGCCCAGCCAAGCAGGGCATTTAGCTCTGCTCTTCCCTGCTTAAATTGAGAGGAAGAGGAGCTGTGTCCCCTCACCTTGTCCTCTGGCCAACAGTCAGCTCAGGTGGCCCTTTGGCATACTCTTGCTTCCTGCAAGCATCTTGACCATAACTGCCCAGCTTTGACCCGAGCTTGTTTCCAAAATGCAACATGGAGGCAGCGGAGGGATGCAAGCTCCTGGCCCCTGTAGGCTTGTCTGTCCTGCGTCATGCACACCTGCAGGCCTCTGCTGCTTTTGCACTTCCACTGGTGAGCTGGCACTGGGCTGAAGCTCCTGCAGGGTGGGCAAGAAGCATGTGGGGCCCAGGGCAGTACCAGGCACTGGCTTGTTCTTCAAAAGGCCTCTAGAGCCAGGCTGGTCCTTCACCAGGAAGGTTGTGCTTGCTGGTTGGTGTTCTCCAAGAGTTATTGCTGGTGCCCACAGCTACAGTGTGCTCTGCTCCTGGGTAGCCCCAGAGAGATGATGTCTTCCTTTCCTTGCCCCTTGTGTGTAGGGTGGTGGAGCCAAGGGCTGTTGCCAGTTCAATTGCCCATGGCAGGGAGGACCAGGAAAAACCCCTCTGGCCCAGCTGAGGTGGTTGAGGGAGGTGAAACCATTACTGCAGTTCCTTCAAGGATGATCATCGGTGGCTGTATGGGGACCCTGAGTGTAAGGGCTAGCTACAGTGCATGGTGGAAGAGGAAAATCTCTGCTCTCCTAAAGTGGAGGGTATCAAGGAGGCCTCCAGCCAGATCTTTTCCCTATGGGGTCTTCCTGCCCCACAGTTGGCAAGCTACTAGCCTTCAAAGAGGTCTTCTGTCCTGAAGAATGACCCCAAGGCTCCAGGGAGCTCCCTGTATAGGTAGGACTCCCTGCCCAAGGAGGTCCTTAAGTGGTGACATGTCCCTAAGCCTTAGGGAGCCAGCATAGCCCTTCCAGGCTATGGCCATGGCTGGACCTAGCTCTCCTCTGAAGAGCAGCTGGGCTGGCTGAGCAGTTACAGCTGCTCCTTGCTGTGCTTGAGCCAGTGGTGACCTCGCAGGGAGACATTCTGGTGCGGTATATGTTACCAATAAAGTTTTATGGGGTTAAACATTACTCAGGTTGGCAGCTTGGAGCTGCCCCATCTCTAGGCTGGAGCCCTCTCCCTTGCAGAGCTGAGGCAGGGTGGAGCAAGTTGGCGAGACACCTTTTGCTCACAAATGGGGCTAAAAGCTGGAACCTCAGAGAGCTGAGCCCTCTGCTCTCACTGGTAGGAGCTGGTTTGCCTTGCTGGCGGGTTGGTGGGCACATGGGTTGTTTTCCAGGACAACTGCAGTTCTTCCTTCCGAGATTGGTGTTGGCTGGGAAGATGGGAACCTGCCTGTTCATGGGCATGACCAGAGCTGTAGCAGCTCCACAGCAATTGGTCCTGAAGCAGGCATGAAGTTGGAGGCTGTAGCTAAACTAAGAGCTTGTCACAAAAGTTTTAAACCTGAAGCGCTCGTCCTCTTGCAGCCCTTGTGTTCAAGTCCAGTAGTGAGCAGGAGAGGAGGTGGCCGCCCTCTGTGATGCACCTATGCAACCTCCTGAAGAGCTGCCTAGAGGGCTGGCAGGAGTGGCGAGGGGTAGGAGGCGGTGTGAGGCTGGCCTGGCCTCAGCTCGCATGCTGGGAGCTGTTGGTAAGCTGCTCGCAGGCGAGGCTGATGGCTGCTCCTCCCGGCACTGCCGTGCCACAGTGATGGTCCTGGCAGGCACCAGGCTGCTGTAGATGTGACTGTGGCCTGACCCTGCACTGCTGAGAGCCTCTACCTATGGAGACTCCACTGACTTTAAGATTGTCCCATCTGCCTTCCCTCCCTCCCACCCTCTCTCAAATACCTCCTTTGATGTCCCTAGTGACCTCCAGCCATGATGCCAGCGCAGGCTAGCCCTGAAGCTCAGAGCTGTCCCTGGCGATGGGACACCCTAGTGATGCCTTATTGCAGCTAGTGGAGTGGCTGTACTACAGCTCCATTCCTAGAAGTGTTAAGCATGATGGCAACCACGTCTGGAAAGACTGGTAAGGTAACCATCTCTCCTCCAAGGTGCACCATGGGATTTGCAAGCTTCTGCCCATCTCTGTAGCCCGTACCTCCTTGGCAACCCAGTGCATGGGCCTCACGCTATCCACCCACCAGAGCCTGGGGAATGAGATACCAGGCCTTCTTTTCTAACCCACATCTCCAACTTGGCAGCACATGACATGGCGCACACAGCATGGCACCATCTTACATCAACTCCTCCCAGCTGAGCCAGGCTCAGCCAGGTCCTGCTGGTGAGAGGGGAGCAGCCTGGTTGAGCTGGGGCAGAGACAACCCTGCCACTTGGCGTGAAAGAAACCTGGTTTCTCCCCAACCACGACCCTTTGAGGGCAACCAGAAATACACCTTGACCTCACTCCTGGCACATGGTGGGGGAGGTGAGTGACGTGATAGTGATAGCACACGACTAAATTCTAGCGGGCACGTTAGCCAACAGCACTTGCCAGTCACTTTGTTCCAGAATTGCATACCGGGACAGACCCTGCCCTTAATTGTGGGTCTAATCTCACCTCTTTCCTCTCCAGTTACTGGAAACAGAGCAAGTTCCTACCTGGAGCTTGGCTTCTCTCTTGCAACCTGAAATTGCAGGCAGGACATGGGTCTTGTGAGCTGTAATGAAGGAAATCGGCAGCCTGGGAGAGATGGGAGCGGCGTAGGAAGCTAGAGGCTTGGGAGGAGGGAAGATGGCCCAGCCTGGGACTGGTTGGCAGGGAAAATGGTTGCCGTGGTTGGCTCTAACTGAAGGAACAGAGTCCTAGCTCACTTCTCCTTGCAGTGATTCTGGGTAAACTTTCTTTTTTCCTCTGTGTTTTAGCGATGTTGGGGAAAGAAGCCATCAAAGATGGGGGCCCAGGTCTGCCTTTGCCCTTGGAAGACTGTGAGGCGCAAAGATGCACAGAGTTGGTCTCCTGGGAAGATGCTTGACATGAGCGTAGAGGCAATGATGCGGCTTGTCTTGTTCTGCTTGTTTCATCTATTGCCTGTGCGATGGAGTTGGGTGGCATTGCACCTCTGATGTGAAACCACTTGGTTTGGAGTGCCTCTAAGCTGGGGTCTGAGTGGGCAGTAAGAGACACCGAGGGCTATCAGTGCTCCTGGAGCTCTTCTGCAAAGAGGTGCTTCTGGCTGTGGCAGGATCCCTGAGGGCAGGACTCTGCTAGGGGCAGGATTTTACCTGGATTTCTGGGTGCAGGACCCTTGGAACATGAGGCTGGTGGTGGTGGTTACCACATGGTACTCGTAGGAGGCTAGGCTGATGTGTTGGGTACCCAGAGCTCTGGAGGGTGTTTGTGGTAGATGCCAAGCCTTTTGGGGGTCAGCTGCCCAAGGTGCCCTCCAGAGCATCCACCTTGCTGTTGCTGGCAGCAGCCTTGTCTGGAGGCTTCAAGAGATGACAGAGGTGGGCCTGTCCAAGCAAGTGGTGGGTGGAAGGAGCAGCCCTGGATTGTGGCTATGTGGTGGTGCAAGAGCCCAGCAGGACCATGAGGCTTCCCAGCACTGAGTTGGGGCAGAGCCTGTTGATGGAAGGAGAGGTCAGTGCTCCAAATCAACCTTTCCCTCTTGTTTGATGCCTGGAGTGGCTCAGGGCAAGCTGGATGTCTTGAGTGGTGGCTGCTGTTGTGGATGGACATGAGGCAGATCCCAATGGCTGTGACCGAGGGAACTGGGAGTGTGGGGATGGCCCATTAGGGTGGCCTTAGGTGCTCTGCCTTCTGTTGGGATGCTGCTATTTGCTGGGTGTGCGGCCACCTGGGTGCCACCAGCCTAGCTGAGCCCTGGAGCACCAAGCAATGGTCACCATGATGGATCTGCTGGATAATGGGGATCCTGCCTTTGTGCATCACTGACTGCTGGACTCACTTCATGGTCCCGCCTGCAAAACCTCCTGAACTTCATGTTGTGGTAGCTAAGCTCTGA